GTAGAAGAAAGTTTTTAAATCGGTTGCCTAAAACAGAACTCTAAAGGTCTGCTAGATTTCTGAAAGTAGGAACCAGAATGCTGTCACTATCTCTCATAATCATCGATAATCATTAAGTATCACTATGTTATCTATCATTGACTAAATTATGATATAGCAGGATTCGTAGACTAAAGTTAAAGCATCTCTTGGAGATAGAATTAATTCTGAATTAACATGTTGACCAATTGCATTTTTTAAGTTTGCACTAAATGTGATAGTGGAGGTCAGATCATAATGAGTAATAATTGATTCAGCATATTAGACAATGCATGCAAACTGTCTGTTGAGAAAAAAATAAAAGGAAAAACATCAAACTGCATGGTGATCAATGCTGAGACTTGCCATTCGAAATTTATTTTCATTTGTAAAACTTTTCGGCTTTCAATAAAAAGAACATATATGTGAGTAACTAGATTCGGAGATTCTTAAAGACAAGAAGTACTATTTCATTTTAAGCACAAAAAATGTGTTTATTTTAATCCAATTGATCGTTTCAAGTATGCCTATTCGTATAATTTTTATGAAGTCTGTGCATAACTCATACAAACACTCAAGTGTCTACTTATAGAAAAGAAAGTCATGTGACATGGACACATCTTGAGATCTATGCATGTCATGCATATGAAAAAAAAGTTTAACTTGAATTTCTTCTATCGTCATCTGTTTATACTTCTTTTTATTGATGTAGAATAAAGTGAGGAGCTGAATTTTGATCAAAAACGTTCCTCATCAACAATTAGTAAGAGGAAACTCTCAGTATAAAAGTAGAAATCGAGGCTACATGAACAAAACCAATTCTATTATCGATATAATGAAGGATAATAATCGATTATAAAATCATGATTGATTGCTTTTCAGCTGCCGATATTCGTTTCAATAGATCAAGATTAATCGGCAATTTTTTAGTAATTTCAACGACATGAGATGTGATATTTATTACAAAGAAATATTTTCTTATGATTGCTAATAGTGATTCGTTAATCCTTTGATGGTGGATTTGGTTTAGAAAAGAAACTGAAATTTCATGTTCGAAGTTCAATATACTTTTAGTATTATTTGAGATCATAATCATTCTACTCAGTCTTGATTTGAAGACATATTTGATTGATTTTCGAATAGCAAAAACAAAAAAAAACTACACAAAATCTTTAACATAACTACCATGTAGCATACGGAAAGAAAACATATGAGAAAGAAAAAAACACTGAAAATGCAATTCAGCTTGAAATTTCTCAGAGCAATCAATGATGCAAAGGTCTACATTACAATTTTTATACATGTGACGTGAATCTATTTTCTATTTTTTTGTCTTCAATTTGTATGAGCACATACAATACAAACTTTCTGAGGACTTTACTGTCTGTTGTTTGAAGCAGAAGAGAAGGAAATGGTCTAGCAGTAAGTCTAATTGGTTTAGAGTTCAGAATACTGTATGAAGCGCTATTGCATAAAGTCACCACTGGCAAAAGGTATATTTAATCGCAAAACATAAGAAAAAGTCCAGTTCCAGCATGACTAAGGACAATTTTTCTCTAATTAAATTTAAAACCGTAAATTTACGGCCTTCACGGCCAAAGAGCTAAGTTATTTTTCTATATAAGAAATGCTTCTGAGTTGATAATTCTTCTGTTTAATGGATTAGTGAGATAGATATATCGAAGAGTACATTTTGCTATATTTTTTTTTTATCAAGGCAGCTTTAAAGATGTACTTAAAGCGCAAAGCAAGCAGAAACTTACTGGTAGCTTTTCAGTGTTGTGGTATTCGTGCTAATCAGAAGTTATACAACACCATTGTCGAGAACAGAGAAGAAAATGATATAGGTTTAACGTTTTGTTATTTATCATAGTAATAATAATAGACAATAGAAAGAAATTTATTGAACAGAGCATAGTTACATTATTTTAATAGCAAAAAATCATCCAGAAGATTAAAATCATAAAAACACTTTTAGAGATAACTACTTTTTATATAAATTGTCTATTTCGAAAAACACAAATGCAATAATAAAAGTGAAAGTAATCAAATGTGAGAGAATCTCAGCATATTACTATTTGAATATATTGTAGTACGAATGTTATGAGGAATAGCAAAACAATAACAAATAGCATATATATCGATATATTTACACAGACTATGATACTCATCATAATTTTTTTTTTTAAGTAGTATCATTGTTGTCAGTTTATTCGGTAGTTGATGTCATGTTGATTCAACCAATAGTAGTGTTACTTTTTTGTATTGTTGTTAACAGAATAATTAGTTGAGTCGTAGTGATGTTAGTCATGATGAATTGACTTGCATTGATTCAGTAGTTCGTGTTGTAGAATTTATGACACTTTTTGATTTCGATTTTCAGATACTTATCCGAATGATTCTTATAACTCTAGATAACATTAAATTGATGGCTTGTTTTTGAAAGTTTGCGTCATTCGTACTTGCTAATATTGATACTTATATATGTGATTTCAAGTTATATATTATTGGCGTTTCTACATCAACTATGCATGATGCTTATCAAATATTTTCTTTTTTTTTTATTTATCAGAACTCACGAGCTTATCTTTGAATAGTTTATTAAACATCCACGAGGAGTTACAAAGGTGTATCCTAAAAGAAGACGTCTCATATTTATTCACTATCTACTATTAAAACGAATACTGAGTTTAATACTGAAAGATCAAAAACATTCAAAAAAAAACGTCTGTTGGAAAATCTGAAACATTGGAATATGAGATATTGTTTTATATTGGATTGATAACTATCACATTATTTTTTCTATTGGACTTAGTGAGTAGACTAAGTCTACATTTCATTGATCATAGTTTCGCTAAATTAACAGATAAGATTTGTTCGTTGACGAGCATGAACACAACTGTTGATTTACAGACATCTATTTTCAATTTAATCAAATGCACTTGAATTAATTCGCATGCTGTCTGTCGTCGAAATATAATGTGAATATTGATATTCGACATTACTTATTTTCATATAAACGAGTATAAAGCAAGAAAATATCAGAAGGATGATGTACACAAAAATAGAAAAACTCATGATGATGTCAGACGTCTTTTCATTTGCAGTCTTTTATATTTTCTATTAAAATTGAATTTAAGGTTCTATTCTTCTGGCTCAAGGTTGTATACACAATAACACAACCTGTGTTGTTCTTATCTCTCAAGACTATGCTCTCTAACATTGATTGTGTAATGACGTCAATAATTTACAAAAATCTTTGTTTTGTAATATTTACGCAATATTGTTATTAAAATAACGTTCTACGTTGAATCTTTGACTTAGGAAAATACAATTTACCTGTCTTAAAATAAGGCTTCTGAAAAAATTTAAAGTTTTATCAGCTAAAGTCTTGGATATGTCTAACAATTATTTAAACATTGTATAATAAAAAGCAAATGGCTGACATACTTACATATTTTATTTTCAAAGAGTAACATCGATTTTCGTGACAACAAGGTTATTTTTTGATAAGATCTCAAGTTTTTTCTATTTGACGATGTTTATTCATTGAATTTTTTGCTTTTATATGAATAGATAAAAAACAAGAAGAAATGTATTTTTGTAACTTGTGTATCGTCGTTAATATCTATCATTAGACTGACGAGGAAACCTTTCCACCTGTCAAACCGCTTTCAAGTCGGAAGTATGTGCATAATGTAGGACCTAATGAGCTATGAATACCTTGAAAAGAGTTCGTGCTGCTAGCTTATTGCTGCCGAGATATTGCATTTTCACAGCATTTTTAAACAGAAAGCCGTAGTCCCTCTCAGGAACGTTAGAAAAACTGAGTTACGAATTTTGACTTGAAACTTTGCACAGAGACAGGTCTCAATTAGCATAGTTTATTATGAAAGTTTCAGACATTTTGGTTGATCCTAGTTTGAAATAAGAACATCGGAATCCGCCAGTATATATGAGCAATGTACAAGCATGCTTTTATCACAGCTGTATCTTAAGATAGGAACAAGCAAAAGATCTGAAACTATCAGAATAAACTATTCTCATTGAGACCTTTCTCTAAGCAAAGTTTCAAGTCAAAATTCGAAACTTAATTTTTCTAACGTTCCTGAGGGGGACTACGGCTTTCTGTTTAAAAATGCTGTGAAAATACAATATCTCGACAGCAATAAGCTAGCAGCACGAACTCTTTTCAAGGTATTCATAGCTCATTAGGTCCTACATTATGCATATACTTCCGACTTGAAAGCAATTTGACAGTTCGAAAAGTTCTCTTGTGAGTCGTAGCCGCCAGAAAAAAAATTCGATAATAGAGTCACAAAACCTTTCGGACTGCAAAATCATTTTCCCAGTATCTCGGTTAACTCTCTTTTATCAACATGTTCTCTGTAACTTATTTCTTCTTCTATGTGATCTTGAAAACTAAGAAAATCTCCTTAAAATTTCTAAAAATTCCAGCCAACACTGCCGATGAAAGAAGAAAAAATTCACACTTAATTCAACGGCTATTGTTAATCTATGTTTTTGATTAAGACTCAAATTGAAAATAATGTCAACTACATATGACAATCGAATTTTCTACTATAAAATGTTATTTAATGGTTATTTATTTTAGCAAATTTTGGTTAAAATTGTAGCAAGAGATTAATAGTCTATACTCATAAATGTAATATTTTTGAAAAGAGCGATTAAAGCCAATTATTGCATGAATTCTAGTTTGAGTTTTTGATGTTAAATTTATTTAATTTTTACTCCAAAACAATCCACAAAAAGTTTTCAACTTTTTGTCTCTTAATCCATCATTACATACATAAAAATGTAAGCACAACAGTAAAGAGAAGAAAGTGTGAAAATTGAAAAACAGATTTGATCGCACTTGATGTTGGTGTGGTTAATGTTGAGCCGGTCTTAGTGCTTCCACTAGAAATAAAAGAAAGTAATAGAGAAAAATAAGATTGCTTATAAATTATAATTTCTTATAATTACCCTTGTGTGGTTGTAGTAGGTGCAGCTGTTGTTGTTGTTGTTACTGGTGCAACTGTTGTTGTTGTTGTTTCTGGTGCAGCTGTTGTTGTTGTTGTTACTGGTGCAGCTGTTGTTGTTGTTGTTTCTGGTGCAGCTGTTGTTGTTGTTGTTACTGGTGCAGCTGTTGTTGTTGTTGTTTCTGGTGCAGCTGTTGTTGTTGTTGTTGCTGGCGCGGCTGTTGTTGTTGTTGTTTCTGGTGCAGCTGTTGTTGTTGTTGGTTCTTCACTACTATATAATATGTAAATTATTAGTGTGTATTTCAAAGAAAAATCTGCACTCATTTGTTTCTTTTTACTTACGATCTTTTACATAAAGCTTGCATCACACCTCTACTCGATTCACATAATGGATATGCATCTTTGCAGGCTTTAACACATTTGTTATCGTCACATGGAGCAGTTTCTATGTTCGATGAACCGATATTCACTGCTCTACGTGCACCTCTCCTTGTTGATATACTGCATATACATTGGCAATCGGCACCACTATCAATAGCAGAGACAAAGTTAACACAATAGAGTGCTATAAGAATAGCAGATACAAGTGTAGACATATGCATGTTAGTATTTGTCTGTGCGTGTGCAAAGGATCTAGAAAATATTTAAAAAGCAAAGTATTATAAAAACATACGCAATAGTAAGCATGTAAGACGATACTAATTTGCTTCTATTACACTGACTTTTTTAACGTTTGCTGGCGTTTTATATATGTGTTATCTTGATAAGTAAATAAAACAAACATCTTTGTTATCTCTTTAACTTTTGGAAGGCACACCATTCACTGTTGGTCATGTTAGTCAGATATATAAAATAAGATAAAACACTTCTTCGGACTTTGTACACAAAGGAAGTCCTTCTGAGTAATGGTGTTTTTACTTTTATTTTGACCGTTTATTAGAGCATTGCTGTTTCTATATGAGAAGTATAAATATTGAGTTTTCTACAAGATATAAATACTGGTTTTGATATAATATGACTATACTTTAGTACTGTGATGATTTGACGAGTCTATAATTAGAATATAGAAGTTCTTTTAATTTCAAATATATAATTAAAAAAAAAGAAATGATTGCTTCGATGATTTTTCTCGAACTCAAAGAAAAAAATAATAAATTCAACTTATTTAAAAATATTCGAGCTCATTAATATATATTTGTCCATTGATAGAGAATGAAAATCTTAAATGTTGAACACTAGAATTAACAATGACTTTATATCAAATAGCTCTATTCTGATCATTAGCACTATCAATAAATTTTATCAGTTATACTTATGCGAGTAGATGTGGATGTATGAACGAAGAGAAGACTCATAGTTCCACTAACAGTCCACACCCAGAAACAAGAATTTTTTTGTATTAACAATTTTTACACATGTATGAAAAATGTATATATTTTATTTTAAAAACAATCAAAATCAAAGTTCAGATAGTCTATTTCAAAAAATTCACATTGCAACAACTATATTATCTATCAAAAATTGTGCATTCATATTATTAATGATGAATTCTAAGCCAATAACAGGAAATAACAATGGAAGAGATATTGTCTGTACAGCAGTTACATATTCTGTTGAACTTAGTTTAAATATGCGTTTGCTAAGAGCAGGAAGTACATGTACGACAAAAGAATCAAATGTTCTATTTTCATACCATAGGATCATTGTTAAATTATCTACTAGCCCTTCAGGTGTACGACCAATCATAAATCTTATACTAGATCCATTGATGGGAGCTTGTAAATGAATTGCATATTTACCAACTAAATTTTCAATTGGTTGTAAGATTAACATTGCCGAACGATAAATGTTTACATAAACTGAACCCCATAATAATAAATTTGTAGCATTGATTTTTGAACCAGCAATTGTTCCCGTAGTAACGTCATAATTTTCAAAATCAGCAATGACAATTTCGTTTGAATCTTGAAATGTTGATATATAGTTTGTATAGGGTAAATAAGTTAATCCAGAACGATAATCTTCAAATAATATACGATATTGCGTTTGATTTTTGAGAACAATATTCATAAAAGCAGACATATATATTTTACATAAATGTTGTTGATCTTCAATTGTCATTAGTGGACGAACATTTATTAATTGATTTACTCCTGGTATTAGATCATATCGTCCCCATTTTGTATTAAATTGTCCATGATTAGCTTGATGTACATATAATGATGCTTTAAAATTATAATTACTACTATTTGATGTAAATCGTAAATTTTTTAATTTTCCTTGAAATAAAAATGATAATAAATCTCCATCATAAATACCATGAATGCCAAACATTGTTACATCATGTGATTCAAGGTCATATCCTAATGGTTTATAACCATCAACTGTACCACTAATAGAAAATAATGCTTTAATTCCAAAATTATAATCACTCAATGATATAGTTGTTGGATAATCAGGTAAAAATTTTAATTTATTTAACATATGAGCAATAACAATTGTTTCACCACCGCGTGAATGACCCATCAAACCAATATTGAATAAATCTAGTTGATTATAAAATTGATTTTTTTCTTGTCTATTCCATAGACGTAATTGTTTCAATGTTTCTAATATGACGAATGCTCGCGCAATAAATTCAGGTCGTTTTCTAAAACTAGTATCATATTTTTTAATTTTTGACATTTGTCCATAACTACTTGAAGAATAAGATGGAGCTAAATTCAAAAAATTTTCATCAATTGAAACAGCTAGAAAACCTTGACTAGCAAGCATTGTACCTAAATAATCATAACCATTTTCATTTGATTCTGTCGACATATGATTACCATGTACCATTAGAACAATTGGATATGGACCATTGCTAGTATTGATCGGATACCATATTCGACCATTCAATGGAAGAGCTGATTCATTATATTTAAAATTTTGTTTATTAAATGATGATATTGTAATAATTGAAGATAAATCAATGGTTGGTGTTATAATTGATGCTTTCGAACCATATTCAATTCTATTATCAAAGCCACTTCCATATGTCAGAAATCCATAAGAATAGTTTCCATTCAATGATGGATCATTTGTTAAATTATGTGGAAATCTTTCTGCTGGTACTATAACATCTATTCTCATACTATAACCATCAGTTAAGTAATACCATAGTAGAAGACTGACTCCTACACATCCAATCACAGCTAGTATAGAGCAAATAATTTTTTTTTTTTTTGAATGATAAAGAATAGCTGCAACAAAACCACCAACAAGTAGTGTATGACTCAATGCTAGTGCAAGTCCAAGTCCAAAACCGAGAAGTCCAGAATCTATTATCATGGCTGCTATTAACATGAATAATGAACATGTCAAAAAGCTTCCAATAAAAAATGATATTGTTCCATTTGATACCTGTTGACGGATTGAATAAGATTTTTTCCAGAGAAAACTAATTACAATAATGAAAATGTACACTACAAGTGTTATTATCCAAATAATAGTTGACATATAAATAACAAATACAACGAATGTTGCAAATGAACCATAGCCTAAATCAAGTGGTGACATGACTGATGCTGGTAACAGAAGTGCTAACACAGTTAAACCAATACTTGTTGCTTTGACTATATAATTTCCAATGCTCTTTTGATTAGATTGTAGTGATTCGTCATTTTTCTTCTTTAATTTAATCCATAATTTTAGTGACAAGATACAGATAACAAGAAATATTGCAACAGTGCTCATTATAATTAATGCTAGTAATTCAATTATTAGTTGTCGCATAATGACTAGAACTATTATCATTATTATTAATATAAGAACACAGATTCCAATCAAAACCATATCTTTAATAATTGTTGATGGCTTTTGTCTGGGTAACATTTCATTATCATGATCATCGATTTTCATTCTTATTAGTTGGTTCAACTTGATAAATAATTTACTTGTAGAATAGAAGACTTCACGTGATCTAATATAGACAATATAAGTCAATATTAATTTACAATCAAAGAGAATATTCGTTGCATTACTAAATATTTAGATGAGAATAAAAAAAAGGAAAAAAACACGCGATTACTACTATCATAGCGTGCAAGATACGATAAAAACCGACAAGAGTTGTGCTAAAATCTACTTTATATGTGACAAAGACAGAAGTGTGACTGATGAAATTCTCAATCCTGACTCAAAATCCATCATGAGGTGCACCATACTCTGTATCGATTACACATGTAGCCGTCTCAATTCATATTGTATACACTATGACTAAGAAAGATTCGTTAGAAATGTACGTTAAACACTGTATTCAAAGAAGACAAAAGAGTATGCACGCAACGGCTCTTGGTCACTCACTCTTCTCTAGTGCTATTTTTATTTGAGATGATTTTCATAAAAGAAAGAAGGATCACCATTGGCCAGTTTTTTTTTATAGTAATCGAGTAAAACAATTAATAGAAAAACATGAATCGCTTCTCTTAATATAGATATCATATCTCGAAATAAACTCAGAATATGCAAGAATAGCACATACAATATCTCTATACCTCCTTTCTTTTCCGTCTTTCCTTTTTCCTTTTTTTCGGCCTTGAAATGTACATGTACAACCTCCTTTGCTTTCATTTTCTCTTCTCTTCTGGCGACCCTTCTGCTTCAACTTTTTTTATGCGTTCCTTTTCGTTTCGTTCTTCTATTCCTGTTTTTGTTTTCTTCTTCGTTCTTTTTGCTGTTTCTGTATTTACTTTCTTAACCTCTATACTAACCAAGTCAATAGTCGTTACAAAGATATTAGTGGCGACGATAAAATTCATTGTATTTATGTTGTTGTTCAGTGCTTAAACTAGCATAGTAGAATCGAGATACAAAGCATACGGATTGACACTAGTCTTTTACATCGTGAGCAAGTGTGTGAAAGAAGCTGAGCCTGTCTTCTATACGGGCAAGTTAGAGGATGAAAATCAAAAAGTTCACCAACTCGCCAGTCAATCATTTGCGACAATATCATCTTACATTAAGTGGATAAAAATTTCAACAGACATCTTTGATTAAACTTGCTTTCATCTCATCATCGTTTAGTGAACATGATTTAGGAAAAATAAAATCATCAAGTGACTACAAGTAGTTTAAAAAACCTCGTCAAATAACGAACTTTTCTCTTTTGATACATTGTAGGAGAGGAGATACGAAGGGTGATCATAATTCTGCACGTTAACCTACACAAAAATTTTGTTTTTATAGCTTCTTACAAGTCTTCACAATACAACAGTACTGAAATCATAAACTGTAAAACGTTAGCATAATCGAGTTTTTAAACACCTTGAATGAAAACAAACAGAAAAAAAAACACTAGAGTTTCAATCGTTTCTTCCATTGCATAAATGCTCGATTGAACTTTCAACTTTGACGAGTTCTAAATTTAAGTCAAATCTTTAACGGATACGTTTTAGTCTCTGACTGGTATGCAATATTCTCGAGAATGTCTGAAAGACATTAGAAAAGTTGGGAAAAGTACAGGATAATATGAGTGATTATACAGAAAAGCCAATATACTCGAAGCAGATTTCACAGTTTTAACTCTGAAGATTCTTCAACGAAATATTGAAGCCTATGTAAAACATTAATGGGTACATCTATATTGAAAATAGAAAGTAATATAATACTCTGAACTGTCTTTTTAAGCAATAGGTAAGTCAATATAAGTATTAGTGATCACTATCCTGCATGCGATTCTTAATTTAATCTACGGTATCTCAAAATACGTTTATCAAGAAAAAATTGTATATGTTCATCGTGTTTGATAAGTTGACCAGACATGGTTAAGTGGAACGGTCGAAGGTGAAGCGAAGGCGCTGACATATCTACACCTGCATGCGCACCCACTTACTTACCATTACGTAGGGTGAATTCATGAATTTCTTATAGGTGTGTGTACAGAAGAAAAATAGTGGGTTCTGGAGAAAGGCTGAATGAAACTAATCCGAAATAGATTATGATTGGAGCCACTACACAACATCTGGATTCGTCACTGTTTTTCCTCATAAGTTTTTTTTTCGCAGATGAATTCTGTAACATTCTGTGGGTAAATATAACGGGTGGTCCATAAAGAATCGGTCACTTTGTTTTTTGCTTATATCTCGAATGTATCTTTATTGTTGGAACTTTATTTTTTTATTAAAAGATGCATCGTGAAATTCTCGACAAAATAGCGTAATTTGTGTTTTGAATGCATTTTAGATATATTCGAAGAAAAAAATGAAAAGTACAGATCTTCGAAACGTTGTACTTTGCAAACATTAATCTGGTGATCATTCACGAACAATTTTTCGTGATTTAAATGGTGCTTTGTCACTTGATACAAATCAACGATGAGTGAAGATAATCAACGAAACTGGCTCTATCGAACTATCAACGTCACCAGATCGACCACGAAGTGCTCGTTCAGATATAGCAATAAGAAAAGCCAAGTTGCAGTTGAAAAAACCATCAGCGATTTTCAAAAAGAAAATTGGCGCGTGAGCTGAACATCTCAACTACAAGTGCGCATTGAATCTTGACAATTGATCTTGGCTGTCATGATTACAAAATTATTAAAGAACCGGCCATAACAGACAAACAAAAAGCCGATAGAAAAGCATTTGCAACATGAGTTTTACGGAACTACAGAAAAGAAGATACCAGAAAAATTTTGTTTTCAGGCGAGAAAAACTTCGATATTGACGGAGCGTATTATTCGCGAAATGACCGTATATGGACGGTGAGCCGTGCTGCAGCCGATAGACGGGGTGGTATAAAAAAGACCGAAAATTTCCACCAAAGGTAATGGTTTGGCTTGGAGCGTGTTCGAAAGATCTAACGCCGTTGATGATACTGGACTCAAACTCCATCGATCATGAAAAAATATATTAAGCAAGTTCTCCCAATAGTTAAGAAATATGGAAACAAAATGTTCAGTGATGACTGGACATTTCAACAGGACAATGCAACACCACATACCCATCATTTAATACAAAAATGGGGCATTAATAAAAAATAATTTACCGTCATTTATTAGTAAAGAACGTTGCCCTGCCAATAGTCCAGATTTTAATTCTTTGGACTATTGCATATGGAACGAGCTCGTTCAGTCAATGGGCTGCAGTAGAAACAAAACAAAATTGACATTAATAGCTGAATTAAAAAGAGCTGTGACAAGTTTCAACGGACGTTGTGCAAAGTGTAGAGGATTTTAGCAAACGAATATACCGTGTATTGCGAAATGATGGTGACTAATTACGTTAAATAAAATATTGTTATTTTGGTAGAGCGTTTCATGACGCATCTTTTCATAAAAAAATAAAGTTCAAATAATAAATATTTATTCGAGATATAAGTAAAAAACTAAGTGACCGATTCTTTATGGACCACTCGTTACTTGCCAATGAGTAAGGATGACTTGATAAAACTGAGTAATGTCTGTATCATATCTGTTTAAATTTATCGAACTTCTTCTACTTTTCAACTAAATATCGTTTTTCAATTTTTTTGTGCTAGCTGAGTAAAAAATTGTCAAAAAAGCTGATTCATTCGAGTTTAGAATCGTGGAGATTCTTATCACGATTGAAGTACGTTAAGTGAGAGTTAATGACCTGGAGTGCAAGAAAGTAATTTGTGAGGACTTGAAAATGATTCATTCATATGTTGAGACTATCAAAATGACGATATTTCAGTAAGGAATAATTTTAAAACAATGCGTGTCATAAAAATAAGAGATTTTCTCTGAAATCTAGAGAGCTCAGCATTTCATATGAACCATAAACCAAAACGAATAAGAAAACCGTTATTCGAATTTAGTTCGATTCAACTTACGTTATTATAGATTAAAAGTTTATTGTTTTCTCAGATATTACTTACTACTTACGTTATAATATTCTTTAAAATCGTTTAGTTTTTTAAAACGAAAAGTGATATAGAAAGTAGATTTTATAGAACAAAATGATTCATATTAATTCGATATTAATGAACTCGACAAGAAGGATATAATTAATGTCTGAAAGATTAAAATTTGATGAACAAAGGGCATCTTTTCAAATTGAACAAGAGAAAACTGATCTCTACAAAAATTAGCCAGAAAAACTTTATTTGCAAGGAATAATTTAAACTGATAAAAAGAATTAATGGATAAAAAATACTAAGCAATCTCGATATTATTACAAGTAATCATCGTTTTTCTGATAAATATGTCATTGAAAAATTAAAATATATCGTTTTTTGTAAAACTTATCATAACGAAAGATGGTTATGAGATTGTAAATAAACAGGGATCGAACAATTGCTAAACCTATTAAAAATATTTAAATTATAGTATACGTTCGCATCATTTGGTTAAACCATTCTCGACTAATACTTTTGTTTACAAGAATTTGACTGATTTGATCGGAAATTCTAAATCGTTATTCTTTTCTTTTGTATCTGTGTATTTTATGTGAGGCTATTACCAGTATCATGTAACATTAGTAAGTCTATTTTATTAATGTCCATGGCAAACTTACATTGGGAAGTTTACAATCTTTGTCCTTTGGTTGCGTATAGATAGACTATTGTTCATAGAAAATAATTTTCGTTCGATCTTTCTCTTGGTTTTATTACGTTCAACTGTTATGTGGCCTTTTTTCCCAATGGATTTATGATCCAGAGAAAAAAGCCGAACGAAAGCATCTCCATTTGATTCGGTTTCGATCTCTGATGCGAACAAACCCTTTTGAGATTCTGCTACTCCATCATTCTCTACTCATCAGCATAATATAAAAATAAAACGAGCAAAATTTGCATGGTTTGAAGTACAAATAAATAATTTTTACGGGGGAGACTGTTTTTCGATATTTCTGCCTGAATTGTAGTATAAAACTTAACTTGAAAATATTTATTTGATTCACTTCCATTATACTGAATATATATATATCAGAACGTTACAGCTACATAACGTGTTCGATTTTATTACATGCAATTAGAATGCAATCATACTTTATACGGAATCTTTTCATGACGGAATTCTTTTTTTAAGAAACTTATTTTATTACGAGTTTGCTGTAAATGCATTCATTTTCATATTTTGGTCTACATCATTGACTCTTTCGAGAATAGCAACATATAGATGTCATTGTTCTGGAACATTAGAGTCACATGACCTAGAACAATTCATATATTGTATGTGTATGTCTAAGCATTTGTATCTACTCGAGATAGGAAGAATGTTCCTGTGTTTTCCATCCATAAGGAGAGACAGTAAACACTTTTTCTTATATATTTTATATTCTAAGTACATAATAAATTTTAGTTTTGCTATGTTCCTATAGTATACCTAGGAATAGTATTTGTCCTTCTTCACATTCGTGAAAAGGATCAATATAAGAATTTTTTCTGAAAAATTGTTTCAACCGAAGAAAGGACATGGTTTTTTTATGGCCCATTCGCAAGCATCATTTTTTTCTTGCAGTTTTTCCTGAGTATTAGAACTATATTCGTACTCAGCTGTTTGTGTTTCGCTTCGTAACTTCGTATCTATTAATATTTTAAGCCATCGATGTTCTAATTCATTATAACGCAGAAAAGAAATTATTTAATTGAACTCCTATTTAAAAAAAAGGAGCTTACTCGAGACAAGGGAAAAATTGTCTTTAATACTACTATTAGATAAACTATCGAGGGCTTGCGTAGATAATATATATCTTTAATCAATGACAGAGGAAAGAGATGTCTTTAAAAAGGATTAAATATTCTTCTTGCATACTCACTACTTTTTGACTATTTGTCATAGATAACAAATATTTGTCTGATGAGGTCACATTAGCAAATAATATCAATTAGATGCATAGAATGAATAAAAAAAAACAAATATCATTGGTAGTTTGTAACTTGTGCATTAGACTAGTTGTTTTACAATATCAAATATAAATGAATCTTATTTCTTATCTTCTTGAAAGTATTTCGATATGAAAATTCAAAAAAATGCGTATTGAAATGTTTGCTGCCTGTTTTTCGAGCATTAAAATGTGGTACATGATGAAGTCGCTGTTCTTGAAAACGACCACCATTCTAATGGGTCTAACACTGTTCTTGACAGGAGTAAACCAACTATATTGAAACTGAAGGAAGAAAAGTAGACTTGTTTTTCTATTTCGCTGTTTCAAACTGATTCATAATCTATGAAGCAGAAAGACGCTCATTTCTTTCGTCTATAATATAGTGACGTCTATAAGTTTCATGGCATCAGTGAACAGTTTTCCAAAGAAAGAGGGTGGATAAAGCAGTTTTGTGTCCTGTAACAATCCAACCTAACATGTTGTTTGTTACTTACCCTCGATTCAGATGCTCTTGATGTCCTTTTTCTGCTCATTATTTTTGTGGACTTTCATCCCGTTCTTCTACAATTTGTACTCTTAGAAGCGCACTACTAGTTTGTTCTTCACATGTACATAGTTTTATAACTATAATAGCATTCCCTGTTTGCTTATTTGCACTTTGTATTTACACGCTTGTTTGTTATTGACACCTTCTATTATAGTGTTGATTGTACATTTCGAGGTCCTTCTACGCAATGAAATAGTATATAAGGAACGAGAAAACTACAGGATAGTTACGATTTTTGATATTTCAATAAAGTAGATGACTATGAGTTCTTAAATAACAACTGTTACATCAGAAATCGTCATATACCCCTCCTTCTTTTAGAATTGATTTACTTCTATCAGGAAAAATAAGAGATCATTCTTGATCACTTTTTGCAACTTTATTCTCCGAAGAAAATGATATTGACCATTTTTGTGCTTCATCTCCCTGATAAGTGTCATAGAAAAAAACTTCTTTTTTCATAAGTCAAAGGCGGTTGTGCTTGTAGATTCAACGATGGTGATTACGAATATGACAATATCTACCCACAAAACTTCTGTATTTATGAAATAGTCCTAAGTACTTTGTGGACCCCATTTTTTAATTTTTACTGCTCTCACAGAATATGTATTTGTTCAAATTTAGTGAAAAATATCTTTCCTGATTTAGAACCTTGAGTTCTCTACGAATCAGAACTTTTTACTCCGAAAAAATATAACCTTCGATAAAAAACAGCGATTCAGAAACCGAATTTTACCCTGTTTTGAATACATCAGTTTTTGTCCCTGTAATTTCTTATGAAGTCAGTCTTGCCACAACATCAACTTTAGATCATAAAAGTAATTTCCCAAGCATTATCGGCTAATAACTTCAAACCTTAGTGAAGATATGTGCAACAAGGCCGAAAATCCCAAATTCGGATAACATCAGCCTGTTTTCCCTATGCGTCTATACAAATGTATGGTTTTCAGCAGGAAATCCGGTTTACTACAACATACAATGTGAAGTATATGCCTAGCTTTGCAAGCTCTGTCGATTGATAGCCTCCTTAAGATAGAAAAAGAGCTACAACAGAGTAAGAATTCCAAAATACTATAAGATTTAGAATTTTTTCCGTGGATTCATGTATACTTCTGTGATAGATAGAATGGTAGTCTACTTTTTGGTAAGGAAAATTGAGATTGAAAGTAGACTTTCTGTCGTTCTATCAGTTGATGATGTCAATATTAGATACAGTGACAGCGAAAATGAAAGAAAATGGTCGAAATCTCGCTGTTTTTTCTTCAAACATTAGTTTTTCGAAGTGAAAAGGTCTGATTCGTAGAGAACTGGAAGTTCTGAATTATGAAAGATATTTTCCACTAAATTTGAACAAATATATATTCTATGAGAACATGGAAAATTAAAAAAATGGGATCCACAAAGTACTGGGCACATATTGTGATATTCATAATCAGCATGATTGAATCTATAAACACATCCGATTTTGACTAGTGAAAAGTGAATCTTTTTCCATGATATTTGCAAGGAACGTCAAGCACAAAGATGGCCAATATCATTCTTAGGAGAATAAAGTTAGAAAAAGTGGTCAAGAAGAATCCATTATTCGGACCAGATAGAAATAAAGCAATGCTAGAGAACACATAAAACGGCCTTCTCTACCCTCCTCCTTTCGAAGTGAAAATGAGAAACGTATCTATTGTATAAAGAAATATTTTTGTGGTAAGTATGCAATCTTTGTTTGAAAGTAAGTTTTTTACTCACATATCTTTGGTTATCAGAATATTGACAATCCTTTCAAACGAATGATCTATTTTATGACATACATAAACTTGAATATTTCTTGTCTAAGGATCTTAAACCGATGATAGTAACTAATTGATTATATATAAATCATTAACTAGCATTTTATTTATCAAGAACTTTTCCATTTATTTTGATCGACATGTTGAATATGTGTGTGTACACTAGATCGGATGTTTAAAATAATCAATAATAAGATAAAAAAATCTTTAAATTAAAATGCTAATTATTCAACTGAAGGATATTCTCTCGTAAAATAAGTTAAAAAGAATTCTGTTAAAAAATTGTATGAACATTTTTTTATACATAACTCGAATAGTAATCGTCATCCATAGTGTTTTGTAGTTCATCGGTTGATGCTAAAGCTATTTGATTATTTTCATGTTCCATCATAAAAATAATTGGTCGTTGATCAAATGGCATAGTCAGTGCTTGCTGTCTTGTTAATTCATATCGTTTAATAAATTCCAATGGTTTTGTATTCGATTCGTTCGATATGTGTAACATATTTAATACATCTGAAGTTATCTGAGTTGTCATACTCATTGAACGTGTTCGAATTTTCATTCGATGTTGTTGTCGCCGAAGACGTTGCCGTATTCGACGTCGTTGTCTTTTTGAAAATGATTTTTGTTGATTAGAAAGTGAAGATAAAGGTGGTGACGATAATTTTTTCGAACATTGCTGCAGAAATTTTCTACGTCTCATCATTCATAGATTTTCTTTTAAAATAACAAAAGAATTTATATAAAAAATAAGCAGATAATTATATATAAAATACACGTTGACAACCGAATATAAAAAAAGAGTTTATTGATATTTTATAATTTCGAAAGATGAAAATATATAATATGAATATCATTAGATTTGAAATAAAGATAATTTGAAATAAAATTGAAAGTTTTTATTTTTCTATTTATATCCGTTGCCATTATGTTTTTAACTCATCAATTCAATAGCCAGCTGTGTTCTCGTGTATTGTATATACTTATTGTACCATATACTGAAATGAAAAGCGTTTAATTGTTTTTCTTTCAACGTCATTCTTTCATGGTTTTTTTTATGAGACACAAATATAAAAAAAAACAAGATATGCAACTTGAGTTGACTGTACTTTTTTTCTTAATTTCTCATCAATTGTTTAATATCACCACTGCTTTATTCATTCATGATCCGAACAATTCTTCAATAAATATTAATCTTTATCAGTGTGATACTAACACTTCGATAATTGATAGTAGTAGTCTCAATATTGATACAATATTTAATTCATGCGATCTCAATTGTTGTACATCAAATAACTCAAATCTAACAAGTATCTTCAATAAAATTATCATATTATGTATATGAAATTATTTTCATTCGTTTTAGTATATCTAAATAGATGTCAAGTGAGTTTACAATCATTGATAGGTGTCTGTCTCGGTCGACTTTGTTATTCAGGTGAATGTAATCAGTTCCTGTCACTAAAAAATATGACTAATTACCAACAGATAAAGAATAATAATACAACAATTATGCATGATATCCGTTTATCTCTTTCTTCTCTTCCTTGGTCTTCATTTGTCAATTTAACACGAGTAAAATTGATGTTATGGAAAAATAACAGTAATTTATTAGTACATCATAGCATTATAATTCTATTATTAATTATAAATATATGTTTAACATTAATGACACTTTTTGTTGTTATCAAATCAATAGTACATGCGAAAATAATTGCAAAAAAAGATTACGCCGATATTTATTACTATAAGTGAACTTAAAATGAACTTCTTTTGTCTTTTCTGTAAATATCATTTGCATTATTGTATCTCTATATAATAATGTTTTATTAGTTACTTCTTGAAGATTTTGTTTTGTTTATGCAACATTTCGAGACATTTTAGAATTTTTTTTATTTGCTATAGTCAACAGTAATTCAATGTATAAATATAAAATTCAATCCTACACTAAGCTTTCTAGAAAAATCATATGTGTTTATGCTACATCCGCACCAGTTGAACATATGTTGTCTCACGATGATCTTTTAATGAGACTACATCATGTGTATTTTACAGGTACAATAAGACATTAATCTAAATAGTAAAAAAATAATTTTTGCTCGTAAACAACTTTAAGTTTAGATTTCTGTTGATAGAGAATGCTGTTTTATTTTTTACTGTGCATAAAAACTAGGAACGAAATATCGTTTCATGATAAATTGGTTGTTAACATTCTTTGTAAAAAAACAAAGAAAACGAAGAAGTGAAAAAAAAATATCTTGCCTCAACTCGACTAGGAAAATAGTTTGACTAGGTTAGCCCAGCAAAAATCTGATTATTGGCATTACAAAATTATGGATTATAATCAGTTGATTAACATTCTATTCATCAAATAATTACTTGTTTCTTAGGTTATGGAAATCAAACATCCAAATACATAAGCAAATTAAAGTGAATAATAATACTAATTTTTCTTTATTAAAATTTCGAAATAATTTTAACAAAAAAATTAATTTTTAACAGTCTTGTTCTACACGTGTCACACTGTCAACATTAGCACCCATATCTCTAAGAATCTGTTTCAATTCATTCACAATTGATTGTGACAGTGTTTTTGTTCGTCTAAAATCATAAATAAACTAATAAAATTCAAATTGAATATATTTTTATACATACGAAAGTAACCAAATAAATTCAAGTTTGATATCAAGAATTGGAATAGTACGACAAACATAGACAAGACCATAATCAACGTAATTCGATTTAATTACATTATAGTCACCCTTTTGTACTACGAGAATAAGCAATTATAGAAATAATCATTAGGGAAAAAAAAGAAACTCTTACTTGGATTATCAAAAGTAAGAATAAATGCACCAGGTTCTGAAGCATTTTTTACTTTAGCTGTACCTCGAATACTCGTATAATCACCAAGCCAATTAACTGCTTGATTCCATACACCTACTGTTCCATCAGGATTTGGTGTATATGTTGCATTGACACATTTGGATCCAATTTCAAAAATAATATCACTTCGATAAGCTTCATACCATAAACCAAAATACTAAATGGCAATGAATTGTATCAATTGAATTTATTAATAAATAAATTTAAAAAAAACCTTACTTTAGTGACATCAAAATCTTTTTGTGTGACAATTTTTGGACATTCTTTTGCTAATGATAAACTAGCAAATGAAAAAAGAGCGAAAACGATAGTTGAAAATAGCATGATGAATGATATTATTGTTATGTTGAATGTCTCCTGTATTTATAGGGATTTTTATTCAAGGTTAATATTATATAAGCGTTGAAGGTGAATGAGGACTTTATGAAGCATTATATAACCACTGATATATATGACATAGCAAAATGACAAAAGAAAGAGACAAGTTATCAAAGTCAATATCAGCAGATGGCTAACTTCGCATGAAAACTATTAGTATACCTTGTTAAAAAGACTTTGAATCGTTTTTGAGTATTTTTTCAATATTAATAGTGATGATATAACCATATCTGTTTCAGCACTGCTGAAAAAAAACAAGTACCTATGCGATCATCATTTTATTTTTTTAATAATAACATCGCAAATATACCTCGAAAGAAGTTTTTAGTTTTATTGTAAATATATTCATCAACTGATATTTATCTTACGAGGGAACCTTTTTAGATGACACCCTCTGTTTTGATTCCTTCGTATCTCATTTAACCGAGTATATTGAGCTAGTAAAAAGGTTAAAGAGATTTTCCCCCATGTCTCTTCCTTCAAAAGTTATGGCCGTTTTATTGAATTTTCGACCCATTCTCAGGTATTTACGAAGAAATTAAAATAGGGAATTTTGACTTGATATTTCGCCCATAGATAGACCTAATGGTCCTTAGAATATCCTGAAAGTTTCAGCTAAAAAGAATGTTCCTTTCTTGAGATATTGAATTTTCAAGTGAACTCGGTTTTTGTGACCAGTCTGTGGCAGGCGACTAGTTTTTTGAAAATTCAATATCTCAAGAAAGGAACATTCTTTTTAGCTGAAATTTTCAGGATATTCTAAGGATCATTAGATCTATCTATGGACGAAATATCAAGTCAAAATTCCCTATTTTAATTTCTTCGTAAATACCTGAGAATGGGTCGAAAATTCAATAAAACGACCATAACTTTTGAAGAAAGAGACATGGGAAAAAATCCCTTTAACCTTTTTACTACCTCAATATACTCGGTTAAATGAGATACGAACGAATCAAAACAGAGGGTGTCATCTGAAAAGGTTCCCTCGTTAGAATCTGCCTGATCTTGAGATGGTTCAATCTCCGTCAGACTGCTTCAGAGTAGTCCTCTCTCAATCATCGATCGAGATTAGCATGTTCTCGAATGATCAACACTCGAGAAATAGTTCTAAAAAAAAACTATGTTGAAAATGTATGTTTTGTATGTTCAATCACATTGTTTATATATGGCTCTTTCTCCATTGAAAAACGGTGAATGACTAGTCAGCATGTAAACACTAATAATGTCGCTCTTTTACTCAGGATCTTGTGAGAAAATAATCGTAAACGATATCTTGACTATGATCTTGACAAGATCTTAAATACAGATTTATCTGATACAACCAAGATATTCACGTACAAATTATCTTTTCAAGATCTTATGAAGATCTTGCTTACAAGATATTCGACTAGGGTAGAAAATGATCTTCTGCTGGAAAAATCTGATGAATGAAAATTTTTTTGCAATAAATAGAGAAGGGAAAGAGATGGAAACCTAGCAAACTATATCGAAATATTCAGTGAAAATTGACGAAACAAAAACGTTTTATTGATGTCCATTATAAATAAAAAAGCTCAATTGTTCGAATAACTTCAACGATCATTTGTCTTACTTTGAAAAGATTTCTTTTTCTATTTGTTGAGGTAATCCATGAATAGGTTGACAAATTTATTTTTGATATTTGTCAATTTGATGGACTTCTATGTTCAACAAGAGAAAAGGAAATATAGATAACAATTCTATAAATAAAAAACAAAAATTTCATTGATCTTATTTAAAACAACAAATCGTTTTACTTGAGTGAAAAATGAAAATTTTTTTCAATTGATTGATATATCATTGATATAATTTGCCTTATTTGAGCAATTTTTAACTAAGAAGAATATATTTTAAAATAAATAATAAACATCATATCGATTAATAATTTCAAATTATTAACATCATCTTATATAAATCATATTAATTATCAAATAAATCGTTGAATTATTCTTCGTCTTAAAACATTAAATGATTAAATATTAAAGTTAATAAAGATGATATTGTTTTATATTCTACATCATGATTTTATATAATAACATAACTATTTCATTGTTATTATCAATGTTCAATTTTATTATATAAATTGACAAGAGGAATTAATACTTTTAGGAAAATAATTTATTGATCATTAACATAGTAAATATGAACTGTGATCAACAATCTTAAAATAAAACAAATAAATAGATAGAAATTAATCTTACGGCAATAAAATCGAGTTATTCATGTCAAATGTTAGAAAAATAAATATCTCCATAGAATTCGTTTATTATAAAACTGTCAGATTTTCTCGTGAAAAAAAATAAAACTATCTATTTAACATTTCTACAATTATATATACTTAGCAAAAGTCCAAATAGCTGCTTGACGAACACCTGTATCATCATCGATAACAAATTCAAATATAATATCGATAGAACGATCAAGCCATTATCGATTCGAAATAAAACCATTAAAAAAATACAACAGATTTTTTTTCCTCTTCTATAGAATTATTTCTATTGGAAATATTTACTGTTTCTTTCTTAATTCTTGTTTTTCTTGTTCTTGTTCAAGATAATTTAATATTCGAAAATCATTCTCATCTAGAAGATGAGCTAGAATAATCTATTTTACATAGATACACATTTAAAAAAAATTTATTTATTACAATCATTTATTACTTTTTCTACGTTTAGCAAGAACATATAAACGTTCTGCTATATTGAATAGAATATTCTAATAATCGAATTCTTATTATTGTAAATGCATGACTATTTATTAATAAGTTGGTAAAAGTATTTAATTAAACATCTATAAGAAATGCATTATTACCATATCGACATGATCAAAGTGTAGAAAGTAATTCACCTAATATACATAATTAAATATTCTGTAAAAAAAATATTAATAATGAAAAAAGAGGAGGCTAATTTTCTAATCTAATCTTGAACTGTCTTGTCAATCAATTGATAGAACGTCAACATTGATTAATAAAAGAATTCTTATCGAAATTAATTTTATAATGATGATATTGGTTAAGATATTGTTAAAAGATGAATTGTTGTTTGAATTAATTTAGCAAGGAGATTTACAGATGAACCGTTTTTTCGCATTAGAATATAGTGACTTTAAAAAAATTCCAAGGAAGAATAGGACTAGAACTGATAAATCTATATCGACAAAATCTTCCTCCTTGAATTTTCAGATTCCAGTAAATATGTTTCATATTGTTTTGTTTCAACAATTTAATAGTGAACATTTTCCTATCTATTCAATAAGTTGAACTAAACCTTTGAGATCTTCCTTGATCAAATTGATTCTATTCATCGGACTCCTCCTAATGTTAGAATTCTCGTTATGTCACTAGTGTACAATAGATCGTTCATAGCCAGGAAAATAGTTTCCAGAAAAAACATGACTATCATTTATTTCTATAGACTGTTTTAACATTGGAAATAATTTCCGATTATAAAATAAATCTATTTTATTCAACTGAAACTCTCCAAGAAAAAAAACAAAACTAAAACAATAATTAAACATACTTTCAATAGGATAATCAAATAGATAAGATTGTTGATAAACACGATAGACATGTTAGTGTAGGATATTTAATAATAATAGATGATTGATGATTAATTTTTCTCGTTCCATCTATATTGAGCATATATTTAATTGAAAAAAAAATCTAATACAATTTATTTGTTTTTCTATCGTTATACTTTGAAAAAAATTGTTGAGCAAGTTTTAGCAGATGATGTTCGTTTTTCATTATTAATTATTAATGTTGAATCTAATTGATCATTGATTTAATTTACTAAAATATCTTGTTATTCTTTAAACTAACGTTGATATATTGAATAAACTATTGTGTTAGAAAAAAAAAAAACTCTTGTTTTTTTCCCCAATATTTATCTTGTTTTTAATGTTTGACTAAGGTAAAATATTATATGAAAAGATTAAAAAAATATTCATATTGAAAATAAAATCATTGACTATATATTGAACACTAATTCAAATATGTTCTTAATTTAGTATCAATATTTTAACTTCTATTAATTGATTGTAGACTATTAATTGATGATTGGAATTGTTCAATATATAAAGCAATCTTATTGAATAAGGTTTTTGTTTTTTATTAAAGCAAGATAACTAATTGTTAAACATGTCCTATTATATACATAAGGATATTCAACTAATTGATCTATTAAAATAAAAGAAAATTCTAATCAATTGAAATTCATATTTGAAATAAAACTTTCCAATTCTATTTGCTATTAAAAAACGTGCTGTAACCGTAGGATAATGAGAATAACGAATTATAATAATAAGACAAGAAGTTGATCAATGATGAATAAGTGCAGATTCATCTGAGATATTTTTCAAATAGGTAGGCCATGAGAAGTTTCAAAGAATAGTTTAGTTATTTATTAAATATTTCAAAAGAAAATTCGTTTATTATTAGTATTAGGAAAAAAAACCCAATAATTTGTTTTCATTCGACTTTATACTTAAACTATGATGAGAGTGAGTGAAGTACTATGGCTACATTATTTAATGTCCCATTTAGACGTTGATGATAAATAAAATTTTTTTATTCTTAATCATTGATTTGATCACATGATTATATATAAATATCTGATAATATTCCGATTAATGATGAACTTATTGGAATTTGTTTTGATTTAATATCTTTATCATATATTAATTTCTATATATGATTAATGCTAGAGCATATATACGTTCTTTTCATGATTCAATTTATTTTTTAATTAAATCTAAATTTGATTTCATAACACAAGAATTATTTATATGTAGAATTAATAAATAAATATTCTAATAGATGTTTTGATGGTATTCTATCAAGTTGATTTGATATTTTAGGTACATGTTTCTGTATTGCCAATCTTCTGCTTATATAGAGGTTCTATTTTTT